TTATGTGGAAATACAAAGGAACTAGAATAGAAACAACAATTTTGAAAAACAAAACAGTTTGGGAATTTACACTACCAGATATCAAGACTTACTATAAAGCCTTAGTTCAAAACACTCCCGTAGTACAGCAGGGTCTTTTTTGCCCCCCATGGCTCCTTCTTTATCTAATTGAACAAAACTAGAGGGCTTCAGCTCTGTCAGGGTGGCTGTTATTCCACCACCTTTTTCCCGCTTGGCACTTTGTTTTATTTTATTTATTTATTTGTTTATTTCTGGTACCGGGAATTGAACTCACAACCTCACACTTGCCAGGCAGGAGCTGTGCCGCTGAGCTAGATCCCCAGCCCCAGCACTTGATTTTAAAATAGTGCTCCAAGCCAAATCCTCTGTGGTCATCTCAATAAGTGTATGACCATTAAGATACTCCTTAATCCAAGTCCATGAAAAGAAAGGAAATACCAGAATCAGTAATACAACAAGTATTTCTATATGTATCTGTGGTTCTTGAGAACCAATTTGCCCCAAGTTTTACACCTGATGATATCAATATCAACACACCGGTGTGATCAGTACTGATGCTATCAATGCACTTTTCCCCCCTTTGTGTGCACAAAAGTGTCCCCTCACCTTCTATTTCTTTGTATAACAGTCCCTGTTCAGGCACCAATATGCCATGTCCAGCACAGCTCTCAAAGTTCCCTGGGGAAGGATGGTAAGAGATGGAGAAATAAAGATAAGAGTCAGAATACAGAAAGCTGAGGTCAGGTAGCACCCTCTGTCCAGATAGGAGGAAAGGAACTTCTCAGCTACCATAGTGCATTTATTCATACATTTGTCAGGTTGATGTCACATGACACCCCTCTGCCTAGCAACTTGCCTACATGATAGCCTGGGGCACCAGGTGTTCTTGGAGCTGGAGCAGCTTGTTCACATAACTTACTTCAGGCATTCTTTTTTTCTCTGGGCTACCCTTGCTGCTGCCCTGAACATGTGATTGATCTCCAGCCTCAGCTGCTCTCATATATAGGGGTCTGTATCTCAGAAACCACACACACAACTTGAATAGGGAAGTCAAATCCTAGAGTCGTCTCAGTGAATATGGAAATAACACAAGAGGGTTAGTCTTTGGTTCAGATATTGAATCGCACCTGTTAGCATGGTGAAGGTGTCCATGCCTCTGGGCCTGTTGAATCACAGCACATCCTTACCCATGTATAACTCAAGTGGATCTTGCTACCCGGCACATCTGCCATGATAACTAACTCCCCCTTCTGCCTGTCACATAATTTCTAGGGCATATTAAGACATCCATTTACACAATCACATCTTATAAGTTTGGGAGCCATGCTATGCTTAAGATGATGAGAATAACTCTTATTGTTTGTTAGACAGAGTTAACTTTACAGTTTAGTTCTCATAGATTATCTTTTTTTTCAGGTTTTTGAGAGGTACTTTAAGTATAAAGTACTGAACTGGCAGCCTCATCAAGTGACATTTTCCTTACCCATAACATACTCTGCAATCTACTCCACCATCAGCTTTAACATACTGCCCATTACCCTACTAACCTCTTTCTCTAGGAAGGACACTTGAAATGAATGAAACATTGAGTGCATTAGCTCTGAAGTTGAACTACATCATCTACTGAATATATTCACATTCTCACTGCTACCACTGTTCCTTTAACAGCTGTAAATGGAGGGTCTTGAGATCTATTCAGAAGACCTAGTGTTGATGTCTAGTGCTATGGTTCTAACTTTGTGTCTTTAAACTAGTTACAATTTGTCTTCTCATCTGTAAAGTGAGAAAACGGTAAATACTTTTCACAAGATTATTTTGAGAGCCAAAGGAGCTATTCCAAGGGTTTTTTAATGATTGAAGCACATGGTAAACGCTAAAGTTCCAACACAATGAAACATACAGCATTTTTATTTTTAAATTTTTTAAGTAACACACTATTTCAATAGTTTATTTCTGTGAATGACAGATATTCTCAGTAAAATCAAACAATTTTGTAACTGCAAATGATAAGACAGCTAGATCTAGAAAAGTTAGCACAGTGATACCTTGACATTTTAAAGGAAAAAGATAAATAATTGCAAGCTTATTTATCTTTTTAAATCAAACTATGTTGAAATAAGCAAACTTTGAATAGAAAACTACAGATGGTTCTTTCCTATTTCAAGCATAAAAGTACTTTAATAGAGAAAGTTCCATTTTTCTATATCTGTTTAGATGATATTACAGTAAAAGGAAGGGGTGAATTGCAGAATATAGCTAGTGAAAACACAGCATTGTAAAGGTAAGAAATTAGCTTTTCCACATGAAAGAAAATCAGTGATCACATAAATTTAACATGATTATGATGGCTAAAGCAAAGATACAAAGTAGAATATATTTGTGATTTCTTATCTGACACATGTATTAATAAACTTCAAAATATAAAACAATTTAACACCAATAGCCATGAAAACAAAATAGCAAGATAGTAAAATTCCTAACTTAGTTAATATTAACATTTTAAAAACTTAATTTTCATCTCAATTCTGTAACCAAGTGTATCTCCTGTACAACTGAAGTTGGTCAAAGCACTGTCATTTTCAGGATTCCGGAGAATTTTCCTGGAATCTACTCTCATTGTTTGGGAGTATGCCAGTATAGAACGTGGCAGGCCATTACCGCCTCATCTGCTGCCCCAGGCTACTTTGCACGATATGCATTGGGCAATGATCTTCATCAGGATAGGGGCTTGAATAACCCTCCACATTAGCAATGCATGAGTGTAAATGTCTTTGGCCAGATGTCTCCTTAGACTGCTTTGTATCCTTGGGCACACGCTAGGAGAGTGAAATGAGGAATACCCCAACTTACAGGAGCTTGAAAACCAAACTTTGTAAAGTCATCAACAGCGCTAAGGGCACAGAAGTCGATGAGAAGTGTTCCCTCACCTGCTATTTCTTCGTACAGCAGTCCCTGTTCAGGCACCAATATGCCACGTCCAGGGCAGCTCTCAAAGTTCCCAGGGAAAGGATGGTGGGAGGATGGAGAAATAAAGATAAGAGTCAGAAGACAGATAATTAATGATTAGATAAAATTAAAAATGGAAATGTATGACGGTCTTCTGTTCTTTTCAAAATTGTGATAAATGTATGCATATGGTCTCATAAATGAAGGCCTGTGCAGAAGAGCCTGAAAAATTCATTAAGGAATTCTGAAGGTCAACATGAGTTAACTTGGAAAACATACCGCATTTTTTAATGACAAGAAAAGAAAAAACCCTCAAGGCACAGATTTCTAGAAACCATTTCAGTAAAGGGTCCTTTTTGTTGTTTGTTGATTAACCTAAAACATATTTTTCTGCATTTGGCTATGTAGTCAGATGTTTGACACAGGGATTCTTTTCTATCGTGTCCCTAGCAGTGTGAGCCCAGTTGGTTGCCAGGCTCATAAAAACAGAAGGCTGTTGATCATTAGTCTGCGTACAACATAGCACTTGGGCATCTCGCTTGGAAAGCGCTTTTTAACTTGTTTCAAGAGGTGGCGCTTAGAAGTGAAGAGAGTATTGTATGCCTGAATGAGTGCACCAAAACACCAGGCCAGACCGGGGTGCAGGCACCCACTTATGTGTGTAACTGCCTTTTTACCTAATTAATCCTCTCCTTACAAGCCTGAACACAGCCTGTGAACTTTACATTCCGCTGGTAACTGGAACTCTGGATCCTACAAAACCTGGATGCTTTCATAGAACATTATTTGTTCAGGGTCCTTGAAGCAATGATATCTAATGGAGCAGAAGCAAAGAGAAAATGACCTGAGCTTTAGAGAGAACCACTGATTTCCATCACAGATCTGGCCCCATCACTCCCTTGCTTAGAAACCTCACAGGGCCCCCCTCCTGGACAGACTCCAAACTCTTCTCAACCAACTCTGCTCTCTTTTGCTATGTACATACTCATGCCGTTCAACACCCACCTCCTCCCCCACCCCGACCACTCTCTGGGCCTGCATTTCCTAATGTGTGATTTGCAGACTACCTGTAACAAAATAAATTGGTGGTGCTTCATTAAAATGCAGATGACCTTGCTACACCTCAGGGCCGCTGAATTAAAATTTCTGGGTGTAAAGGCCTCAGGGATCTGCATGTCAAGATGCTTCCTTTTTAGGAGACACTGATCTCTGCTCTACAAATCTCTGCTCCTTGAATATAACAGGCATTTTATTTCTCTGCCTTACTCTTCTTTTCTTCTCCACAAACTTATCAGGCTTTCTTTACTGAGTGTGCCCTGTAGACCAAATGTAGGTAGTAGATTAAAGCTTCCACGATGTGACCTTTCCTGATCCTTCTAAATCAATGAAATTAACTGAGCACCTGAACATCAGTAATGGCGTGAAAAGAGGAATAGACATGAATTAGGTGCAATCTTTGTACCCTGGACGCTTGCTTAGACCGACAGAGATTTCACATGCGGGTGCCTCTTCCCTCGCAGATGATGGGCTGCACTCTTAGAAACCACTGCACTGGATGAGCCGGGGGAGACGTGAGCCAATTCACAGGGGGAGCTCTCTGTGGCCCTGAGATGCAAAGGTCCCTTGATAACTAGCATTCTTTGCGTGCAGAAGCAGCGGTGGGATTTTCCCAAAATGCCTCTCATTGAGGAAATTGCCAAAGTACTTTTCTAATTGGTTTGATTTGGATGCAAAATTTATAGAGGGCGAACTGAAGGGTGAGGTATTTAAATGTTCTTTAGATCTTTTAAAAATTTTTATTGTTAATATATTGGCAGCACGTAATGAGGACATTCACTGTGGGGAGCTGGTACACGTACATACACTTTTAATTCTTTTTCTTCATCCCCTTCTCTCCCTCCTCCTCCCTTTCTCCTTCTCTCTCTTAATCTTTCCTTTTGCAAAGAGCTATCTATTTCCTATCATCTATCTTTTACTTTTCTCTTTAATGTATTTATATTTTGGGCTTCTCATATAAGGCAAACCATGTGATATTTAAACTTATGTGCCTTGTTTATCTCACTTAACACCGTGATCTCAAAATGACTCTAGTGTACCTGAGAAGAAGCTTATGATGGAACAAAGTACCTGAGGCCAGAGGATGTCCGCTGGGCATACACCTCATTGAACATGTGCTCAGTGAAAGATGAATCAAGGAGGGATCAGTTTGCTTTATAACCTAAAAACGAATAAACTGCCTCTGGTTGTGCTGGCCTGGAGTGCGAGGCCCTCTCTTCTGACACCAAAAGCCCCTCACATTCTGAGACTCAGGGTTTATCCATTCCAGGGGTGTGTCTATGCTCTCCATTTTGCGCTTTTTAGTTTAATGCGTCTTAAATGTATTTCCCCCTAGTTTTGCAAATGAGTTTGCTTTTTATTTTCCCATCCCATGTCTGTCATTTGGTGCTTTCAGTGCTTCTCTTACTCTTCTCCCCTATTTTCCTGCCACCCCCACCCCGCCCCTGTTCCCTCCTTGCGGCCCACATCCTGAGGATGAAGGCAGGCGGGATTAATCCAGCAGGGAACACAATGTCTTCGAGCCAGGGCAGACACACTAAAGCCACTAACGCATGCAGCAGTGATGAAAGGGAGCTCTGATGGGCTCTGTCAGGAATCCTCAGAAATGCTGAGGGGAAACATTTGCTAACCCCTCTGCTGGCTCCAGGCCTCTGGGCCCCACAAGGGGAGCACACTGAGAAAAGCTGAGGGACAAGGGTAGTGAAACTAGAAAGTCCCCTTGCCTCCATGGCGCGTCAAGCAGGAGACTTCTCCAAAACTATAATTCTTTAGCTCTTTTCCTGAAAGACCGTAGGTTAAGCTGAGTGGTCACAGCTGATTTAAGCCTGAGGTCACTGAGGGATTGCTGCAAAGCATCCTGGGACAGAGGACTGTGGAACCTTCTTCTGATGGCAAAGAGAAAGACGAGCAGAAGGCAAAATGTTCTCGGTAGTGCAGGGTCTAAAATAACATCCACGGTGTACGTGGCTGTGTGCACAGTCACGCAAACGTACATACCTGCTTAGTTCTACTTTCTCTCTGAGCGCATCCAGTTAGCGAAGATTTGCCCAAAAAACGCAATGTGCAGCTCTGTAGGACAAGAAATGGCACTTTCTTACCTAGTAATTTTGGTCTTCTAAACACCACAAATTTGAACCTAATGAACCAAATAAATGATTGCTGTACCCTTTGCAGAGGAGATATGAAAATCAAGATGATTCTCAGTATTCATTTACTTTTAGTTTTCTTTGGTCACATTGGACTTCATTCTTTAGAGCCATCCCCCATGCAAGCTCTGTCCTTCGCGGCTATTTGGACCGCAGTCACCTCCCTTGCCCTTGTTTCCTTGGGCTGCACTCTAGTTACTTGAACACAGCCCCACGCGTGTTCTCTGCCTCTGTCCCTTTCTCTTCTTGACTTTTGGTTTCTCCACCTCCACCATCCAGGAAGGCAGGAGCCTCACTCGGGCTAATGGCTTTGGGTGTTTAGAGACAATTAATGCTAAATAGTCTCAGGTCAAAAGCTCACCACTTCCTGAAGGCCTGAATTTCAGCTCTTTCTCATAATACTTTAATGTAAATGAGTTTATCAGATTTATCTGGTTTATACTTAGGTGATAAAATGTAGGACTTTAAAGCTTCCTATGGGGGGAAAAACATGGTAGCCTAACATCCACTCATCACCACGTAATTTTTAAATGTTATCACGTGCCAAGCACTAAATGTAGAGGGCGGAGGTCTGTGAGGCAACCACAGAAGAGGGCTACTTCTTAAAAAGACAGAAAAGAAATTATGTTACTGGACCAAGTACTCTTGAACTCCTACTGTGTGCCAGCTACTGTGCTTGGTCATGAAAGCATGGGGTGAATATGCAAATCTCTGCCCTCAGGAAGCTTACAGGGGCCTTTAGTAACAGACACTTTGAGAGTCTCAGCCAGCTTCTGGAGAGAGCCCGGAGTTTAGAGGACTTAGAGAGGAATGGAGAACAGGTGAAAAAAAAATCAGTGGAGACTTCCAGCAGGAGGTGGTGTGAATAAAGAAAACCAAGAATGAGACTTCTGGCTAAAAGAGGGGAGGTGGAGATCATCTAGGAGGGAGAAGCAGTCTGCCATTCACATGGAGATAAGAAAAGACAGATTACTGAGAACTTTCAATGCGAGGCAAGTTTCTGTTTTTCTTTCTTGGTCATTGGAAGGGAGTAGAAGACTTTTGGGTGGGAAAGTGACATAATCTGCAAATCGAAGTAGAGTAGTTAGTTAGGGAATTATTGTAGTAGCTTAGAATGAGATGTAGTAGGAATCAGAAGTAGATAGTGGAACCAGGATGAAGAGAATAGTTGACTATGAGAGAGATGAGCTTCTGATTGAGTGTCGATAGTAGTAAACTAATAATTGAGGCTTTAAAAGGAAGGACACCAGGATGTAAAGGCAGGGGCTTCAAGGGTATGATAGATTTCAGTTCATTTATGGCAGACTAAAAGTAGTGACTGACGGAGTAGAGTAGAGGAGACTGAGCTAGGGCCACGTACAGAGATGGCTGCAGGCCAGGAGGAAGTCATTCTGTCTGCAGAACCCTTCTGGGAGAAGCTCAAGACCTCAGAAGAGAAGCCTGGCCCTGAATACAGGAAGAATACTCACACATCTGTAGACAGAGTAGCCTGCTTCCCATAGATCCCCACCAACTCTGGCACAACGTTAGGCAGTCAGATACTTATCTATTAGTGGAGAGCAAGGAGGAATCTTCTCTAAAGAAGCAGACTGAGGACTACCAAAATATACCACCCTCAAACATGCCTGCATTAGTCTATTTCCTGGTGTTATAACAAAGTACTTTTAGACTGAGTATATGGCAAATAGTGGCAAAGACTGAGGCTGAGTACTTTATAAAAAGACAAGATTTATTTAGCTCCTAGTTTTGGGGACTAAAAGTCCTAGATTAGGCAGTTCTATCTTTTTGGCCTCTGGTGAAGGCTTCATACCAGCTGGTACCACAATGCTTAAACCATATGTGGAAGAGACCACATGGTGAGTCTGGAAGGCATAGGGTGTGTGTGTGGGCTAGGCTTGCTCTTTTAGTAACAACTTACCCCTACAGGAACTAATCAGGGTCCCATAACAATAACATTAATCCCTTCTAAGGGCAGTGTCGTTAATGGCCTAATTGCCTTCTACTAAGCTCCACCTCTTAAAGGTTACGCAATCTGTCAGCACTGCTACACTGGGAAAAAGTTTCCCGGACATGAATCTCTGGGGGACACATCAAACCTTATCTGAGCATGGCACCCCTCTTTGGCATATTGATTATTTTGAGGTAGGCGACTAACAAAGACCAGACATGAGAAAAACTCTTTATCTCTCCCTAAACACCTAAGAATAGAATATATAAATCTCCCCTTTGGTAAGGGGAATGTCCATTTGTAAAGACATGTGTGTACCAGGAAGAAAGTTACCCCTACAGACACTCATCTCTTGAAAGATCTTTATCTGTGTAAGAAGACACAAGCACTATTTGCCATATACTTACAAAAATATATTTCTTCTTTTCAGCTTCTCATAGCTTACCTCTCCTATCGAGAAGCCCAATAACCCATTTTCCTTTGTGTAGTCTGAGAAGGAATATAAGCCTCAATAGTCTGGCTGACTGAGTCACATTTTTTTCTTTCTGAACAACTGTACCGATATGCATAAGTAAAACTTATTTTCCTCTTAATCTGTCTTTAGCAATTTGATTTGAAAGCCCCAGCCACTGACCCTAGAATCTAGGGTGGAGGGAAGAGGTTTTGCTCCCCTAGAAGAGCAAAGATATTTGAGTAAAACTATCTCTTGTAGAGTTGAACCTCTGTCATTTAGGAACCTCAAAGTATACTGACCTATTTACTATCCACTCAGCCACTGATCTGCTCCACCAGTGCACACAGAGCTCATATTCAGATTATCAGTTTTCTTACATTGAAATATGGCTGAGGAACCAAACTCTTAATTGGACACCAGAAAAAGACACATGAAGATAAGCTAGGGGCTGGGGATATAGCTCACTGGCACAAGTGCCTGCCTGGTAAGTGCAAGGTTGTAAGTTCAATCCCCAGTACAGAAAACAAAAAAACAAAAAAAAAAAAACATGAAGATAAGCTAATTTCAAAAGAGTAGGTAGAAAAAATTCAAAGAAACAGAATACAACCATTAAAAGAAAGGACATGTCTTAAGGATAATACACTTTCTCTAGGAATATAATTTATAGTGACATAAACAAAACAAGAACATGTTTTAAATACACTTAAAATTATGGGTTCATGAAAAAATTACAACAGTAAATTTCTCTTTTAAATTGGAAAGTAATATAGAAGAAGTCTTCCAGAAAATAGAATTAAAAAGAAAAAAGTATGTAAAAGATGAGACAAAGGGTAAGAGATAAGAGACAGAAAATATCACCTCTAAGTGTTCTAAGATTAATGAAAATATCTGGATAAAAAAACTGAGCAAAGGAAATTAAATTATAAAAGAAATTAGAGAGTCTCACAGAACTGAAGAGCATAAATTCTTACAATTAAAGTATCATTGAGTATCTAGAATGGTGCAGGAAAAAAGTGTTCATCCCAACACCTATTGTGAAATTGTAAAATATGAAAGTGAAATAGAAAAATCCCCAAAACTTCCAAGAAACAAAAACTAAATACTAAAATATATTGAGAATTAGACTAGCATCAGATTTCACAACAGGAGTAACTGAGTATACAGAACAATAGAGCAATGCTTCAGATTATGAGAAAAGTGATTTCAATGTTTCGTATACCTGTGAAACTATTACCCAAGTGTGAGGGCTCTGTGGGGTGCCTTATATCATAGGGGGTGAGTATCATGAGGCAGGGGGGAGTGAAGGGCACCACCCCTAAGTACTGGGAGATCAGGGCATTTGCCTGCTGAGACCAAAGATATGGCCAGCCATGTGTGGCCTCACATCAGTGCCAGGTCTGAAGGCAGGTGCTCATGTGGTTTCTGCCACCCCTCTTACCTGTTACTGAAAAGTGTACCTCTTACTAAATGCCTAGTTCCAGCCATTTTCCTGCCCTTGGATGTACACAGCCAGAGGACCAATAGCAGCTTTGTTTGGTATCAGGTGCAGTCCTATTCTCAAGCACAAACTGCCACCTGCAGAGAGGAACACATACACAGATCCCACTGCCGCCCCACCTATGCAGCTTCCACTGCCACCCACCCCAGCACCTTGTCTGACCAGGCACTGCTGTCAGGATTGGGTGTGAGTGCCACATCAGGAGCCCCACCAAACCAAAAGATGAAGAAGAGAGGAAGGAAAGCAGAAAGATAGACTAACCAAATGGATTAAAAAATAAAATCCAACAGTATGTTGCCAATAAGAGACTCACCTCACTAGTAAAGACACATGCAGACTGAAAGTGAAAAGATGAAAAAAGTTTTTATAAGTAAATGGAAACCTGAAGCAAATAAGAGTAGCTATATTTATATCTGACAAAATAGACTATATAAAGAACAAGGAATCAGCAAACAAGAAGATATGATTATAAATTTGTATGCACCTAATGTTAGAGTATATAATTTTATAAAACACACACTGTTATGTCTAAAAGGGAAGATAAGTTCCAACAGAATAATAGTAGAGAACTTCAACACCCCATTTGCATCTCTGGATACATCCAGATGAAAAATTAATGAAGAAATATAACAGTTAAACTATACTATAGACCAAATGGATTTAAGACATTTGTAGAACAGTTCATCTGATAGCTACGGGATATACATAGAAACTTCTCTATAATGGAACACATAGTACACCACAAAACAAGTCTTAACAAGTTCAAAGAAATCATTTACTGTGTATTTTCTCATCATATTGGAATAAAACAACACATCAAGAATAAAAGAAGTTTTAGAAATTATTCAAATATATGGAGATTGAACAATAGGTTATCAAAGAAATCAAAGAGAAATTTTTAAAATTCTTGAAACAAAAGAAAATGGAAACAACATAACAAAACTTGTGGAATACAGCAAAATCAAAAGGAAGAAAAAGAAGGAAAGAGAAAAAGAAAGACTGATTTCAATTAACAACCTAATG